CGAGTGCCCAGGCCGTGTTTGAGAGCCTGTTTCCCTAGTCCTCTGCTCTTGTGACTTTAGCTGTGACACTGCCCATCTCCCAGTCTCGGTTTCTCCATCTATAAAATGGAGGGATGAGTTTGATGCCTTCAAAGGACCTTCTAACTCAGGTGTGCCACGAGCCTGCCTCTTTTTTCAGATAGCAGACCTGAGCTTCTCCCACAGAAGACCCACCTGGTTTTAGTCACCCCATCTTCTCCTTCCTCTTCTTCACCTGTCCTTAAAGGGTGTTCCTTGGGCTTCTGCCCCATGCCTTCTTCCTCTCTCATTCTACATACCCATCCTTGACTTCAGTTACCATTGTTGCTGATGACACCTACGTCTGGATGTTCAACCCCAACCTTTTCACTAAGTTTTTGACTCCTATAAATAATAAGTTGTTGTTGTTACTGTTATTAGTTGCCGTCAAGCCCATTCCAATTCTTGGTGACCCCATGTGCACAGAATAGAACTGTACTCCTTAGAGTTTTCAAGGCAGTGAATTTCGGAAGCAGATCACCAAGCCTGTCTTCTGAGGCACCTATGGTTGGGTTCAAATTGCCAGCCTTTCAGCCAGTAGTCCAGTATTTAAACTTTACGCCACCCAAGGACTTCATAATAATAAGAATAATCATCATTTGTTAAATCCCAGATATAGTTCTACAGTATTGACTTACACTATTTCATCTAATCTATCCAACACCCATGTGAGGTAGGCATTGCCATCCCATTTTATAGATGAATGAAACTGAGTTCGAGAGATCCTGAGACTTGCCAAGGCCCTGAAGCTGGTAAGTGACAGAGCCAGGATTTCTGGTAAGCAAGTGACAGAGCCAGGATTTAAAAGCTGGGATCTGATACCCTCTAGTACCCACATTCTCACTTATCAAACTGTATTTCCTACAGTATATTCAGCTACCTCAGAGACATTTCCACTTGGGTAGTCTAAAGACACCTCAACTTCCATATGTCTAAAATCAAAACCCATCATTTCCCTATCCCCTGCCCCAATCTGCGCTTTCTCCTCTCTTTCCTATTGCAGTGAATGGCACCAGCAACCTCCATAATGCCCAAACTAGAACGCTGAGAGCCTTCCTTACCCTCCAGTATTCGGTCTTCCATCAAGTCTTCCTAAAGGTCTTTTCCACTACCTGCCTGTCAGTTTGTCATACTGTGCTGGCTTACATATTGCTGTGATACTAGAAGCTATGCCACCGGTATTTCAAATACCAGCAGGGTCACCCATGGTGGACAGGTTTCAGCAGAACTTCCAGACTAAAACAGACTAGGAAGAAAGGCCTGGAGATCTACATCAGAAAATTGTCCAATGAAAACCCTATGGATTACAACAGAATATTGCCCAATATAGTGCTAGAAGGCACTCAAAATGTACAACAGTCTCCTTACCAGTCTCCTTGCTTCAGCTCTCTCTGCTTCAGTCTATTTTCCACACAGTGGCCAGGGAGATCTTTCTCAATCACATGTCTGATCACATCACTTTTCATCTTCAAACTTTCCACGGCTTTCTGTGGTCTACGGCTGGTGGCATAGTGGTTAAGAGCTCGGTTGCTAACCAAAAGGTCAGCAGTTCAAATCCACCAGGCGCTCCTTGGAAACTCTATGGAGCAGTTCTACTCTGTCCTGTAGGGTTGCTATGAGTCGGAATTGACTCAAGGCAATGGGTTTGGTGTTGTTTTTTTTTTTAACAGCTAAACTCAAAAGGTAGCCAGGTGGCTGAAATTCATCCGGAAGACACGTTTTATTTGGTCCATTGACCATTCTTTTTTTTTTTTTTTTTCCCTGCCTTCTCTTGCAAAAGCAAAACATCTGGGAACTCTGGGCCCACATCACTGCAGAGAAATGATTGGATGGAGCCACGTGGCAGTTGCCTTCTTTACAGAGGCCGCTGGCTTTCCAGTTTGCCACAGTCTTCAGCATCCCCTACTGTCTCTTAGACCCTGGACACTCCCCCGCTTCCCACTACCTGCCTGAGACTTGAAGCATTGGGCTCATGACTCTGCTGCACAGGATGAAGCCCAAACCCACAGCATGGCTCCAAGGCTCTGCATGGCCTGGCCTGGACCAGAGCAGCCCTGCCAACCTCTGAGCCTTAGCCCTGCTCACTGCCCCATCACACTCTCCCCCTGTAGCCGCACTGAACTCTTTCTTAGCCATAGTTCTCTGAATTGCCAGGCTCTCACTCTTGTCTGTGTGGCTGCTTTGGAATGCCTAGCCCCTCCTTAAGTTCTCTTTGTCCTTCCAGACTCTGATTAGATGCTCCCTCTACCAGGAAGCATTTCTTGTTCTTCCACCTTCCCCCCAGGCTAGGCTCTGCTCTCCTATAATATGTGGCACAGACCTCAGTCATCTCACCCATCACACTGTGTTATAATTGTTGATGGGCTTGTCTACCTCCCCTACCAGACTGGGAGTCTGAGACTGCAGGGAGCCTGTCTTCTTTCCCTTCATATCTCCCAGAGCTTTGCATAGGACTTAGAATATAATAACTAGTTGCTGTTGAGTCAATTGCTGACTAATGATGACTCCATGTGTTGCAGAGTAGAACTACACTCTATAGGGTTTTCAAGGCTGTGACCTTTTGGAAGCAGTTTGCCAGGCCTTTCTTCTGAGTAGAATATAATAGGTGTCTAATAACTGTCTCCCTGGTGTCACAGTGATTAAGAGCTCAACTGCTAACCAAAAGGCCAGCAGTTCGAATCCAACAGCCGCTCCTTGGAAACCCTAAGGGGCAGTTCTACTCTGTCCTATAGGGTTGCTACGAGTTGGAATTGACTCGACAGCAATGAAGTGTTTTTTTTTTTTTTTTTTGGAATAACTGTTGAGGAGCCACAGTGGCTCACTGGTTAAGCGCTCGGCTACTGATTGCCACCAGCCTCTCCGCAGGAGAAAGATGCGGCAGTCCGCTTCCATAAAGACCACAGCCTTGGAAACCCTATGGGGCAGTTCTACTCTGTCCTATAGGGTCAGTATGAGTCGGAATCAATTCAATGGCAACGGGTTTGGTTTGGGTTGAATAAGTGTTGAATGGATGAATCAGTGATGTTGCCACCTACTTGGTGGGGTTGGGCACCCAGGTTCCTTTCCCTCTGGAGTACTCCCTTCCCCAGGTTCCCTCTTAGAGTGACACCCACATGTCCCAAGCCATTCCCCTGCTCTGTAAGCCCAGTCTACTGGGACGGTAGTTTCTAGTGACAATAGAGAGGAAATGTATTATTCTTTTTTTTTTTTTTAATTGTACTTCAGATGAGGGTTTACAGAGCAAACTAGTTTCCCATAAAACAATTAGTACACATATTGTTTTGTGACATTGGTTAACACTGTAACATGACAGTACTCTCCCTTCTCGACCTTGGGTTCCCCATTACCAGCTTTCCTGTCCCCTTGTCCTTGCCCCTGGGCTGGTGTGCCCCTTTAGTCTCGTTTTGTTTTATGGGCCTGTCTGATCTTTGGCTGAAGGGTGAACCTCAGGAATGACTTCAATACTGAGCTATAAGGGTGTCTGGGGGCCATACTCTCGGGGTTTCTCCAGTCTCCTTTAGGCCAGTAAATCTGGTCTTTTTTTTGTGAGTTAGAATTTTGTTCTACATTTTTCTCCAGCTCTGTCCGGGACCTTCTATTGTGATCCCTGTCAGAGTAGTCAGTGGTGGTAGCCGGGCACCATCTAGTTCTGCTGAACTCAGTCTGGCAGAGGCTGTGATAGTTGTAGCCCATCACTCCTTTGGACTAATCTTTCCCTTGTGTCTTTGGTCTGCTTCCTTCTCCCTTGTTCCAGACGGGCCACTCACAAGCTTTTAAGACCCCAGACGCTACTCACCAAAGTAGAATGTAGAACATTTTCTTTATAAACTATGTTATGACAGTTGAGCTAGATGTTCCCTGAGACTATGATCCCCACAGCCCTCAGCCCAGTAATTTGGTCCCTAGGGAGTTTGGACGTGTCTCTGGAGCTTCCATGACCTTGCCTTGGGCAAGTTGTGCTGGCTTCCCCAAGGGAAACATATTATTCTTGTGGTGATAGAGGGAAAACATATCATTCTTGATGTTCCAGGGGGACAGAGTTGTCCAATGGTTGGGAAGTGGCACAAAAATTTGGCATATTCTTTAATTATTTTAATAAAAATAATAATGATAATGATAGCATGTAACACTCATTGAACACATCCATTGTACCAGACCCTGTACTAAGAGCTCTCAATATATTAATTTACTTACTCACAACTCTCAAGAAGTAGGTAGTACTTACTATCTCCATTTACAGGCAAGTAAACTGAGGTTCAGGGAGTTTAAGCAACTTTTCCAAGGTCACACAGCCAGTTAAGCGGTAGAGTTGGGATTTAAACCCAAATCTGTCTGACTTTAAAGTTAATATTCTCAACCACCATGCTTCTTCAATGACATTTCCCTTTAGAAACATGAGAAAATGATTGAAATAATGTGAAAATGAAGGATATACAATTACATATATATGTATATGTGTGTGTATGTATGTGTGTGTGTGTGTGTGTGTATATGTATATACACAGTAAGATTCTAATTCTTAATAATAAAAAAAGACAAGAAAATCCTAAGGTATAGAAAAAATGACCAAGGAAAACATACCAATGTGTTAGCACTGGTTGCTTTCAGATAATTGAGTGCCGGGATTTTTTTTTTTTTCTTCCATCTTCTACATTTTTCCATTTTCTAGATTCCTTGTAATGAACGTGTACTGTTTTTTATAATTAAAAATAAATCCCTCTCTTTTTAATGGCCCCAGCATCAAGTGGCAGAACAGAGGTCGGAAAGGGCTGATTTGAGTACCCAGCTAATCAGTGGAGCTGTCTTGAGTAGCTATCGCTGATCAGCAAAAGGGGGCAATCAGCAGGCAGCAGCTGTGACCTCAGCACCTGCACCCCCATGGGGCAAAGGAGGAAAAGTGGGTCACTGTTCCTGCCATCTCATTGTCTCCCCTTTTCCTCTAGGTGCTTATACCCCAGAACCCCTCAGCAGCTTCCGGTGGGCCCTTCTCTCAACTGGCCTCATGTTCTTTTATCACTTCAGCGTCTTGCAGATCCTGGGCCTGGTAAGTTTGGTTGTATCCCCTTCTATTCCCTCTGTTCTCTATAAATCTTGATAATCCTGGTTGACGCTGGTATATCATTTTGTTTTGAAAAAATATAAGATGCTAAAGGCCAGGATGTCATATTGTTGTGTCTGGGTTGCTGATTTATGATCCACAGCCTTGACCTCTCAAAAGAGTTTTTGGAATCTTTCAGTAATGACTGTTTCTTTCATCCCTGGGAGGCAAGGATGTCCTTCACTCATGGCCACTTGGGTTGGAAACAGTGAGTTGCAACTGGAAAGTTGTTTGCTGTGGACCCCATGGGGAAGCAGGACCCTAACCCAGGCCCTGGGCCTGAGGAAAGCTTTTGACTTTGGGTTTACTCTGCGCCTACTCCCAGGCCCTGTAGCAGTCTCTGCCGTGAGCTGCATGGCCAGTGGAAGTGTGGTGTTAAGGGACCCCTGGGGCATTCTGGGGTGTTCAGAACTGCCTGGAGTGTGGAGAATGGTTGAACTTAGTAGTTATCTAGAGCCCGAGATTGCTGAGTGCATGGGTGTATATTGGTAGCAAAGTGAGTAGGAAGAGCTTGAGACTGGAGCTGGGGGTCAGGAGACTCAGGTTCAAGTCCTGGCTCTGCCACTGATCTGTGTGAGTCACCTCACACCCTCTGAGCCAGAGAGTTCCCCCCACTCCATGACATGGTAAAAAAGCCCCAACCACCCTGAGAGGTGATGAAGACATGTCTCTAACATGAACATGCTTGAAGGTCTTTGGAAGGCAGCACTGTGGCCGTCCTTGGGGCAGGAGTGGCACGTCGGGTTTTGTGTGCAAGCGGCATTAATGTAGCATTCATTAGCCATGTGGAGCCTCGCGTGACCTAGCATGACTAGGGCATGTTACCGATGTCACCATTGCCTTTGTAGAAGCAGACTTTCTCTTCCCCACCCTGGTATATTTCTCTACTCGGTGGTTTGCCAGGGTGTGGGGGTAGTTTGAGCTCCTTGCCAACTGCATGAATGCTTCCTGTGCTCTAGGGAGGAAGCAGTATGACCTTCACACCCTTACCTCCCACTGCTCTCCACTGGGAAGCTTTTATTCCAGAGGAGACAGTGCCTTCACGTTGCCATGCGTACCACGCTCATTCCAACCTCTGGGCTTAGCTCAGGCCATACCTCCTACAAGGAAGGCTCTGCCCACCCCATTGCTCACCATCCATCTTTTGTGAGTCCATTCAGGTGCCACTTCCTTTCTGAAATTTCCTCTGAGGATTCCAGCCTCCATTGCACTATACTCCTCAGAGCTCCTCATGGTGTGTAGAACCCAGTGAGCACCATCTAGTTTGAGGTCAGATGTGGTAGACTGATCACCCCAACTTGATTGATTGCCAGTTATGTGGAAGCAGGGACCATAATGTTCTTTTCTGCTCTGACGTCCCCCAGCACCTCTCCGGAGTCTAGGCATATAGTAGATGCTTAGGAATGGCAACAGGCTTTGGGCCCAACCAGAAGACAAGACTGCACAGAACCCAACAGCCTTTGCACTGGACAGCCTTCCCTCTTCTCCTCCAGAGGGCCCTAGCCTTGACCCACCCCACAAACCTAGGAGAGAGAAATCCCTTTATGAACAGGTGGGGATTTGCCAATCCCTCCTTGTCTAGTCCTCCATTAGACAGAGATGGCTGAACTGGCGGAAGCCAGAGAAAGCCTAAGGATGGTGAACGCTCACTTTACCTCCCTTGTCCCTGCAGGTCACCGAAGTGAATTTGAACAACATGCTGTGTCCGGCCATCTCAGACCCATTCTACGGCCCCTGGTATCGCATCTGGGCCTCGGGACACCAGACTCTCATGACCATGACCCACGGGAAGCTGGTCATCCTGTTCTCATACATGGCTGGGCCCCTGTGTAAATATCTGCTGGATTTGCTCCGGCTTCCAATCAAGAAAATAGACTAAAGGTGGTTGTTTTTGGTTTTTGTTTTTTTTTTTTTTTTTCCTCCCTGAGGAAGCAAGTCATGACTTGACTTGGAAAACACTCAGTTCTTAAGGAAATCATGGGAGAGGGGAATAGGATGTTTGGTGTATTTTCTTTTTTCCTCCTATCTTTCCCTTTCTTTCTTCCCCAGCTCTTCCCCCCCAGGACTTCTCCTTGAGCCGGGGGTGTACTGATGGGGGCTGGAATTTTCCTCCTTCCCTTTGACTCTTTCTCCCTGCTCCTAGTGGCCTTATATGGGGAGATGGCAGTTGGTGGCTCTTTCGCTCTGCTTGTTGGTGCTTTAACAACAGCTGGTTGAGGAGAGAGGGAACAACAAGCAGTAGTTCTTTTGGCATTGAAGTAATGCGATTGGGTTGTGTTTCATTTCTCCACTGCCAGGGACCTCCAGGCTTATGCTGGGGTCCCCTTTTGTCGCCAGCACAGCCCCCACCATAAGGGGACTGAGGCCTTGTTTCTATACCAGCGGCAAGCCCAAGGATAAGGGATTTCCCAGCTCATGGCCAAAGTAGAGCCAGCCAGAATCTTCCTGCTGGTGTCCCATGATTCAAAGCAAGCAGCCAACTGGCCATTCCCTCCAGGATGCTGCCTGGGTAGGAGGTGGCAGCACCACCCAGCCCAGGGGCTAGATTCTATTAGGGGGGCGGTATGGAGAGCTATTGCAATGGTAAATCCAAAGGGAACAGGGTTAAAATGCCCATAACCAATACTGGGCAGGACCCTGTATAAATGTTGCCCGTGAAAGCTGAGAACTGACCCATATCCCATTGGAAGCGAGCATAGAAATTAATCAACAGAAGTAGTAACGTGAGAGAACTATGATTTGAACCATTGGCTCCATTTCAGTTTAATGTTGATAGTAGATGCCATTTTAATCTTGAATGCCCCTTAACTGTTCTCTCTCGCTCATAAAAAGGCAGCTTTAGGAAAGAATGAGCTGGAGTTTTTTGTTTTGTTTTGTTTTTGATGTTAGAGTTTGGAGAATCCTTGCGTCAGGGCCCAGTACTCTTGGGGCTCCTGTAGATCCATCTTGTGCTGTTGCTGGGTATGTCAGCATACTGGGTTTGGGAAGACACAGCTCCTGCCAGTGTTGTTTCCCTGCAGCCAGACTCAGTGCTGACTTGTTTAACGTGGGGAGCATCACACGCTTCCCACACAGCCACACCCAAAGCCCCTGTCTAGGCTGAAAGGAATTAGGACCCCACTGGTAGAGGGTCAGGTGCTCCAAAAGGAGGGCCTTGGGGACATTATTTCGTTGCAAGACTTGAGCTCAGTCATGCATGGACGTCAGGAAGGGAGGTAGTGGCTGGGCATTTGCTGACTCTTTGGTGGCCGCTACTAAGCACAGATTTGCTGAAGAACAGGATAGGTCATTTTGTGACTTTCTCTGATGGAGTCGCCCTCCACTCTCCCACTCTAGGCAACCCCGTTGCCCTTCACCATGTTCAGTATTTCAAATGGTAATATATTAGACCTATATTGAGCTTCAGGAACTCAGCAGTCATGAGTTTAGCAAACGGGCCTACAGGAGGCAGCACAATTCAGGAGGGTCTCTCTGAGGAAACTGAGACCCACGGAAGCAATCACAGGGCCCTTAGACTGGAGGGCCCACCCTGCTGCAGAGGCCAGCTGGCACTGAGGCTAAACTGTCCTCTGGGTGGAGGGGTGCAGGAAGGGAGAATGCAGCACACTCTCACTCCCCGTGAGCTCCTTATGATTCCTAACCTTCATTTTCTGCAGTCTTTGAGGACTTGGCCAAGCTTCTCTTGGAGCCTCTCCCCCTAGGGCTGCCCTCCAGAACAGGGCACTTCTTGAGTGGCTGGATTCCCCCTGCCCATCCTCAAACAGCTGTATGTAGAAATGACTGATGAGGAAATGTCCAAGGACTTAGTGCCCCTTGGCCTCGTCACAAAAGGAAAGGTTGGAAGGAGGTCATGGGAGGAGCCGCAGGGGCCAGGCCTGTCCCCCAGCAGAACGTCAAGGTGCTGCAGGCAGGTGAGTGGGCCTCAGCGGGGGGCTCACAGTCTTGGGTGGGGCAGATCCTCTGCTTGGGAAGGCCACAGTGGTATGGCTCTGCAGGCTTCCTCTTCCCCCCGTCCCTGTGGCAGTCCGCTCACCCTTTGCCCAAACTGGCACGGCTCTAAAAGCTTGCGTTTGCCCTGGCTGCAGCTCAGTGCCCCGTTCTGGCTTACACTCTCTGCTGCTTGGAAGGAGAAAAAAAAAGTGAAAGCCACGTGCCTGACATGGCCGGGCCAGAAATAGATACACCTGGCAGGAGAAGAGAGACGCAAAGGGGAGAGACGGGGCTTCTGGGGGCCTGCCCGATTGGCTCCAAAACATGTAGGCAGAATGAGCAGGCCTGGTAGATAGTGGGTATAGCCTATATTGGGGGTGTTGCCTCAGCAGGCATCTGAGGTGATCCGGACCTCGCTCCTCCCTTGGGCCAAGCCCATGGAGAGAGAGGTAACCTGGCTAGATGCCCTGCTTTAGGGGGTGGCTCCCGTATCCACCCAACAGCCAACCTGCTGCTGCCCCAGCTGTGGTCCAGCAGTGAGGTCAACACTGCAGTTGCCATGCCCAGTGGCCAGTGGACCCTGGCTTACCAGTTCCTCCCTTGGGCTTTCCTGCCAGTGCCAAGGTGGCTCCCCTGCCACCCTGGCCAAGTTTCCGTACGCCATTTGCCAGCATATGTGTTTGTGAGAGTGTTTGTAGAGGTGGACTGTTTCCTTGAAAACAGCACCAGAAAGGGCAAAAAGGCTCCTCAAGCCACCAGGTAGCCTTCCTTGGCCAAGGATCTGGGCCAATGAGAACAGCCTGTTCAGTTGACCAACTCATGACATCAAATAGCAGAGGGATTGTCACACCTGCTTACAGTGCCCTCCCCGCTACGTCTCCCCAGTATTTGATTTTGTGCACCAAAGATGATCTGGCCCATTTTTCTCCTGGAGGCAGAGTGACATGCTCCTCTCTTAGCTTGCAGGGCACCGCCTTGGTTCTGAAGCCACAGGCTCGGTCTCCCCAAGCCAATATTCTCTTTCCCTTGGACTTCTTAACCTTCACAGAAGCTGCTTGCAGGGTCGTCGGGATAACTGGGGCAATTGGAGCACTTTATCATACAGTACCTCAGCCTAGCTGTCCAATAACCCCTTTTGCTGTCGCCTGCATCAGGGTTTTGATACTTGTGATCGCTGATGATAACTCAGTGTTTTGTGCAGTGGGCACCATTCCCCACAGTCGTCAGCAGGTCTCTGGGCACTGGTGTGCGTGCTGGGCCGCACCCTGGGGGTGACCTGGGCGGCTCAGGGGCCTCAGAAGGGCCCTTCCTCCCCTCCCTCTGCCGAAAAGCCTTCCCTGGGTTTGTAGATATCGATGCAGAGGCGTCTGTCTTCTTTGGAAGAGGGTTTTCTTGTTGGGTTCTACTGAAGGGGACGTGCGGGAGTCGAAGAGAAAAGCCTTTTTTGACACTGTAGACGATGTAGACATTGGAACTGGTTTTGGTGAGTCCGGAGCAGGCAGAAAGAGGGTAGCCTGCAGGCTTTGCAGGCTCCTTTTCAAGACCCCAAGCTGGGAAGGGGCCTCCCATACCGCACGCCCCGCCCTCTCTGAGGTGGGCAGAGGTAGTGAGAGGGAGCAAACATCTCTCTTGTGTATATAGAGTGAGCCTATATGTGCTCAGGAAAACCTATTCGCTTGTTGTTGCTCATCTGTGACTTTTTTTGTAACGCTGGTTTGCTACTTGTGGCGTGAAACATACATACAAACAACCAACCATGGAAAACAAAACAAAATAACAAAAAAAAAGTCATTTCAAGCAAAGCTGTTGTTTTATAAACTCTTGCTTTCTTTTGGTGTCAATTTTGTGTTATATTTTAAAGAATTCTTCATATATATTGGTGTTATTATGGTGAAGAGAGTAAGATAGGCTGATCTGTAATTATTTTAGCCAGAAAATCAACAATGCCCCTGCCCCCTCTTACCTCCTTCCCACCCTTCCTCATTCCCAAGCTGGGATTGCTATGCACTGGGCAGACCTCTCCCTGTCACCCTGCTCCCCCATACGGGCACTCCCTTTAGAACCAGTCTTGTGACTCCCCCTCAGCAGCAGGGTGGGTGTTTTGGCAGGCTGGTTCTTGGGTGCTCTGTGCCCCCACCGGTTTGCTCACCTCTTGGGGCATTTTGTAATGCGTTTTCTCTGATTCGTAAAACCTTTTGATTGTACTGAAATGGCTTCTGGAGTCACCTTTGGAAATAAATGGTCATTTATTTGTGTACTTAGCATGGAGAAACAGGTGTTTCTGTTGTTGAAGATCTCCAAATGAGAAGGAACCCTCACCGTGGGACTTACTGTTACCATGTTTTCCTCATTTACCATTATTAAAAGATTCATGAGAAGCCAGAAGTCTTGGCCTTGCTTCCTAGAACCTTTTCCGAAGGCCCTCTGCTTTGAATCGTAGATACAAGGGGCTGTTGGCCCTCCACCCTTGCTGGGCCCTCTCAGCACAGCCTTTGCGGTGGGAACCATGTGGCTGCATGGCCATGAGTGTCCATGTACTGCCTACCTCCACTGTGGCTGCCTGGGACCCAGCAGGCCCTTTGCACTTAGCAGGGTTTGTCTGCTGGGCTCTCCAGGCCCCACCGTGAGCTGGGTCAGGCTGGATTACTGAGCTAGAGAAGGTGACTTTGAAAGGCAATGTGTTCAGGCCCACTTGACCCAAGTTTACTGAGGGCCCACTCTGTGCCAATCACAGTACAGCACAGGTCTGTGCCCAGCACAGGTCACACTGTACCGTGGAGAGAGAACAAGATAATCCTGCCCCCTGGGAACAATCAGGCCTGCCTTCCTAAAGCCACCCAGTGATTGTGATTAGGTTGACCCTCCTTTATACCAGACAGAGGCCACAGTCTTTTCTGAGTGTTGCTGCTTCTAGAAGGGGATCCAGCTAGCCAAAGTGGCAACCAGTGCAGAGGGATCTCCCCTTTGCCAGTAGTTGGACACCCAGGCTATGAGCAAGGCAGGGCCCAGCAATCCTGGACTACAGAGCCACCAGTTTGGGCAAGTCATTGCATCTCTTGCTGCCCCAGGCTCTCCATCTGCAAAGCAATAGCTACAAGTGATCTACTGTGTGCCAGGCATAGTGCTAATCCCTTTACACATATTACCTCGGGGGCAGTGGTGGCATTCTCACCTTCCATGCAGGAGACCTAGGTTCAATTCCTGGTCAATGCTGCACCCATCTGTCAGTGGAGGCTTGCATGTTGCTGTGATGCCAGACAGGTTCCAGACTAAGATAACACTAGGAAGAAAATCAGCAGACCACAATGGTCTGATCCCCAACTGATCTTGGGGATGGCAGGATGGAGCAGCATTTTGTTCTGTTGTGCATGGGGTCACCATGGGTCAGGAGCCAGCTCAGAGGCAGCTAACAACAACAGTCCTCACAAAAGCACAGTGAGGTGACTGGTAATGCCAAGAAACTGAGGCTCACAGCTAATACATGGAGGAGCTGGAATTTGAAGCCAGTTCTGTTGACTCCAAAGCCCAGGTCCTTTCTACTCTCCACTGGACTCCACCGCCTGCCTCTCTGGTGTGCTAGGATTGCTGAGTAGACCCTTGCCCAGGGGTCCCCCAGCCCTTAGAGAAGCAGGAGGAGAGCTGGGCGGTGATGTGGAAGGTAAGAGAGGGAAAGGCGGAACCCACAGCTGTGTGGAGCAGAGAGTCAAGCTCCTATTTTTTTTTTCTGCTGCCAGCAGTCCTGACCCAGCGCAGAGTTGAAAGCACAAAGACATCGGAACAAAGGAGGCAGGGATGCAAGGGGCCAGGCAAGAGCTGGCCCAGTGGGAGGGACAGAAAGAGGCTGGTGGAGAGAAGGTGAGGAAAGTTGGGCCCCTGGCTGTTCTATTTGTCTTTTCAGAAAGTGCTAGACGCCAGTGACCTAGGCCATTGCCATCTTTCCCGTGGACTAGTGTGTCTGCCCTTGCCCCCATCTCTGTTCCAGTCTCTGCTTTCCACTGCAGGCAACGATCTTTTTCACATGTAAACTAAGTGCACCACTTCCCTGGTTAGAAATCCTTCAGTGGGCCCTGGACACTACAGTATAAAGCCCAGGCTCTAATACCCTGCCCACACCTTCAGCTTCAGCTTCACACCCCCGTGTCCCCCAGAGAACCTTCTACACAGACCCTGTGCTCAGCCATATTGTACGCCGCTTTTTCATGCCATGCTGTTTCCTGCTGCTTTTCCTTTCCTTGTTTTAATTTGTGCTGTTTTCTTGGCTTGAAATGCCTTTGCTCCCTGCTCTCCTTTCTCATCCTTAAGACTCGGTTCAAATGTCAACTCTTGTATGCAGTCTTCTTTGAGCTCCAGTCTGTTAGACACCTCTGCCACACCTGGAGCTTACTCTGGGGCCAGCGTTTCCCTCCGTACTATGTGATTCATTAAGGAGCCCTGGTGGTGCAACGGTTAAGCACTCGGCTGTGAACTGAAAGCCTGGCAGTTAAAACCCGCCCAGCAGCTCCGCAGGAGAAAAGATGTGGCGATCTGCTCCCGTAAGGATTACAGCACAAGAAACCCTATGAGGCAGTTCTACTCTGTAACTCATGGAGTTGCCATGAGTCAGAATTGACTTGAAGGCACACAAAACATGTAATTCATTATTGGTCTCTCTCTCTCAGTGAACTTGGAGCTGCTTGAGGGCAGGATGGGGTCTGAATCATCCCTGTATCCCCCAGCCCCTGGCACAGGGAGTTGTTTCATAGGAGCTGATCACCAAGCAATGATCTCATCCCTGAGTGCCGAAAAATGGTGGGAGGCACCATTGTGACCTGGCCACCTAAGCCATGGCCCTTCCCATGAGTTCTCCTGGGTGGGGCTAGGATGCCATATTTTGCCTAGGCACCTCAAGCTCCAGCCTGTGGGCCACCTTGCTGAGGGGCCCCACCCTGGTTCTCTGTAGGGATCTTTGGGGTTGGTATTCTGAGCAAGAAGGTGGAATATTGTGCAGGATGAGAACTGAGATCAATAACATCTGTTCCACTTGACCCTTCTCCAGACCTCTGGGTAGGGGTGGGGGGTGAGGGGGTGGGCAAAGTGTCCAACTGCTTTTCCATATTATTGGTAGCTGGTCGTCCCCACCAGGGTCACCCCTTAGTTCCCTGAGGCACACAGTCAAGAGTTGGTGTTTGCATGGCAAACTAGCCTCTGAGGGGTAGGGAGCAGCTTGGAATGGTGCTAAACTGATTCCCCAGTGAGTTTCTCCCTTGTCCTGGAGTAACAGAGAGACACAGATGTCAGTCTGCCAAATGCAGTGGTTTATTCAAAGGAGATGTGGTTAGCTAGCCTTGGCAATAGCCTATTGTAACCTAGGCAAGGCCAGCTGAGTCTAAAGTCAAGGACTCTGTTACTGCCTGTACTCGCCCCTCCCACAGTCAGCATTCTGTCAGACATCTAGTTGCACACCTGGAACATATGAACTGCTTGGTGAGATAATGGGTGTGAGAGGGCTTTATAAACGATAAGGTTCCTTCCAATGTAAGGGGCTCCCATTTCCAGATAATGTGGTTACTGTGCCTGTTCTCACAGCACAGAGGTTAGTTGGGGTTTTGACTGCACTTACCCGCTGTGCCTTACTGTGTGCCCTGTGCAGCTGGGGTCTGTGGGATGTGGGTGTGGGTGTGTGTGGGTGTGTGTGTGTGGGGGTGTGTGTAGGAGAGGTGATACCTCAGTTTTAAGGAATTCTTTCATTCTTCATTGACTCAGAGACACGTTTTTTCCACATTTTCACATGTAACAACATTGGGATGCATCTTACAATCAATGGCACGACATAGTATATAATCAGCAACTTTTTTTTTCTTTTTCAGTGGTACATAAAATAATGGACATCTTATAATCGAAGGCTTCTTAGAATTGATAAAATGCCATAATTGCTAACTTGGATTCCTCTTCCTCATGATAGTCACCCTCTTGCTGGAGAAAACCCCTTTGGAAAAATTTATGAACAAACTTGCTGTAACATGCTGTCCTCTCTTTTTTCCCTGACTGCTTCCCAGCCAGGCCAGGCAAGCATTCTGCTTCCCGACCAGAGAGGGACCCACTGTGTTGAGCTGTCTCTTGGGACAGATGGTCTGTGGGCCGTGAGAGGAGGAGGCAGAGTGCACCTGCATAAGGAAGCCCACCATGCCAACTGAGGGGGAGGGAAGTTGAGGGAGAGGGAGGGAAGGAGCCAGACAAGCCCAGCCAGCCAGCCCCAACAACTCTGGTTTCTTTATTTCCCAACCACAGTCTGGCCA